CAGCTCTACAGGGTTTCTGTGACGTCTCACACCCCCTCACTCCCTGCCTTCCTTCAGACTGGTGCTAACCCACCTCCAGGGGCCCCAACGTAGCCTCGAGTCGGTGTGTGTGTGTCTGTGTGTGTGAGGGAGGGGGTTTGGGGTGGGGGGTGCTGACTTTGGTCCTGGGTGGCTCACTAGAACTGCTGTGTGTGCCAGTTCCTGCAGGAAGCTGGACTCCCCTGACACACACACACACACACACACACACACACACACACACACACACACACACACACACACACACACACACGGAAATTTGTATAAATGGACAAACTTGCAAAATCAGCAAGGGATCAAATACTTATTACACCACCAATACATGCATCTGTATTAAACTGTTCAATACAGTGCTCTAGGTTCAATATGATCTTGTATTGAACAATACAGATTTAAAAATATATATTTCAGCTGTCTTCTGAATATGCACTGTGTTAACACATAATGTTGGTTCAGACGGTACCTGTTTAAGCTAAAACACAGAAAAAACAATGTTGACTCAAATAAGTGTGGAAACACTACCTTAACCTATAATCAGAGCATGTCTATACACACTGATTTAAAATCTGTTCCTCACTTTCATGAAAATGCGAACAAAGTAATTTTGTTTGAGAACAAGTGACAGACCAGTGGTTCTTAACCTTTTTTGAGGTACCGAACCCACCAGTTTTGTATGCACATCCACTGAACCTTTTTTAGTGATAAATAAAATATGATTTGTTTTCCCAAATTCAAGATAGGTAAATGTTTTTTTTTTTTACTGGTGTATAAAATGAGTCGTGCATGAATATCACCTTGCTCAAAGTACAAAACCAACACAGTGCGTGAACTCACAACAAATTACAGTATGACTTTATTCTGGCCCCCCAAAAGTATTTTGGCCCCATAAAAAAATTCAGCCCCCAAAATATATTTTTTTACTATTTTACTAATAAAAAAAAATTAGGATTTACTAAAGACTTTAACATATTTAAAATATTTTTAAGTTAATTTGTTTTTTGTATTTTTGAATCCACATCATACTTTTTTGGGGCCAGCACTGATTGTCCAAGCAATCTCACATGATCCTCTGCAGCAAGTGATGGCCAAGTGGGGAGTGTCGTCACAACTTTACACAAGTGTGTCTTTACCTCCGGCAGAGGCTCCGCCGAACCCCTGAGACCAACTCATCGAACCCCTAGGGTTCGATCAAACCCAGGTTAAGAACCACTGTGATAGATCCTTTTTTGGGCTTAATAACACTGACAATGTTGGACAAATGTTACCTCTAGGATCTAAAACTTCTAAACAAGCCATCACTAATACTCCTGTTAACAGACCATTCACTACAGCCTTCTTTAAATCAAAACAAGTCAGACTCCAAGCTGAACAAGATAGAACTTGACACAAACCATCGCTGATGTCCCCCGTCACGTGCAGTGTAATAATGGCAAAAAATATCGCAATATAAAAACACCCAGAGTATGATGGCATATATTTAGATCTACTGCTCTCGTTACGGAGCTACTGCCATTTGTATGTGATGTAAAGTTTGGCTACGGTGGCAGACATCTTGAATCACATGACCTTGCAAATGTCACTAGGGCTTGGACATTCAGTAGTGACCACTTGTTAGCAGTTTTGTTGGAATCATCACAGGCCTTCGTTATTTAAATCATCTCATAAGGTGAACAGACGGACTGATGACGTTTCTAAGCGCTGACCATGACTATGTGATAAAAATATACAAACTGGCTTAATCTTTTATGCAATCCTTAAAATGTGATTAAAAATTTGTATAAACATCTCATTTATAAAAATATACAGTAAATCCAGCATCATTTAGGGAAAACATAGACAGTCTGTTGAGGTCATTGACTATTACAGCCTGATGTTATAACTTGTATGGTCTCTAAACCCTCATCTCAGCTCCATTGTTGTTTCTATTATGTTTTCATCTGAACTGAAAACAAAAGTAAACACCATTCCTGCTGCACAAACACATTGATGTTGTTCCCTATTACAGCCTGTGTATCCATGTCCATGGTTTTTGAAACAAAGGGAACACATTACAAATGTGTGTGCACAGTTTCCTAAACCGAGAGAACTGATTCCTACAACCTCAAATTTGATGTGTACCCATGACTCCTGGCAGGCTCTGTAAGAAATGCACTTTTGGTGAGGAAAAAAAATCAAAGCTAACCACTGATGAGAACATTCAATGTGCTTCTATTTGTCTAAAAAATATTGTCTCTCACAGTCAACATAAAACCAGACAAATATCAACAAATTTTGTTTTAGAAAAAAATAAATAAAAATCATAATTGTCTCGGAATTGAAAACTTTAGCTGTGGATGTTTTCCTGTTTCCTGTCTCTCATTATCTGCTGCTGCTGCTCAGAATTCCTATAGGAATTTGCTTTGTTTTATTTATTTCATACATACTTATAACCCCTCCTGTCAAACTCTGCTCCTTTGTTTACCTCTTTGCCCCTATTTCCTAGAAGTCTTCATCAACAACCAAACGTTTTTGATCAGTAATTATTGTCATGCATTGCTTGGTTAGAACAACTGTTGTGAGAGTTTGTTTGCTTTTGTTAAATGTTTAAGGTAAACTGTGTTGTTGGCTCATCAATAGTTTAATGTGTAGCAGTTTATTTAGTGTGTGTTTTATGGCATAATGAAATAATGATGATAATTTGACAAAGTTTATGTGAAGAAGAAGACAGTTGTGAAGTACTTGACAAATTTTCAAGAAAGCCATAAGTGTTCTGAAATTTAATGCTGCTGATGAAAATTGATTTAATAGTCTTCCATTAATAAATACATTAACTTTTTTACACAACAAACAAGTATTCTTTACACTATTCTAGGACTGCTTCTGAAAAGATTTTTACTAAAGGCTTAAATTACGGATATATCGTCATCAGCTGCTGCAATTTTCTTCCTTAACCACTGTGACTGGATTGCACAATGTGGGATTGAGCATTCAGTTGTTATTTACTCCTGCTTCATTATTTTTTATAAATTTCAACAAATCTTGCTGAGGTTAGCCATGTCTTGATAATTGTCTTTGACACTTGACACATTTTGCACACTGTCATTGGATGAGGTGCTTTGTTTACAAAAAAAAAAAAAGGTCAAAACGGTTTTCAGGTGGTGTTAAATCCTGGCTTGGCCTGGTTGATTTAATATTTCAGCTTGTTGACATGAGCCTAGTAACATTATTTTGTGCATTTTCAGCTACTTTACATTGAATTTTATTGTTTTTAGGATACAAGATGCTTCCTTTAAAAAATAAAAATATGAATCTTTCCTAAAATTTCATGGAAACATCAATTATGAGCAATTATGGAAAACAAGGCAAAATGGTCAAATAGACTCCATTGTTTCAGCTATGATTTACTTGAATACACCCATACAAAGATCCATAACTTTCTTCATTCTTGAGACAGTCACTTGACTTCCATGTTATTTTGTAGAGTTTTTAATGTTCATTTTGAATCCGCTGTCAAATGTATTATTGGTGTGGGATAAAAGTTTTTATCCACATTCCTACTTATTTAATTCTGAAACTTAGAATATCAGTTATAAAAAAAGACACCTCTTTTACTGTGACAGGTGTTAAGGACAACACATTATGCATTGTAAAATATCCAACAATAGGTAAATTAATTGGACTTAAATAAAAAAAAGTGATTGGAAATGAACATCTTTGAGGGTAAAATCATGGAAACAAACACTGCAATGTGTGGGTTCTCAAATATCCATTGCTGATGCTTGCAAACACATATTTTATACATCTAAAAAAAAAACACGTTTTTAACATTAAAACTTGCAGAAGGTGCAAATCAGGCAATGTAAGGATGCTACATGAGGGGCAGATCTTTACAATTGGGAATTTCCAAGTACCTACAGTTAAATACCTTGACAGTCAAGCTTTGGGTTTAGATTTGTCATTATTGTCTCTAAGTCTGACATGTGACTTATTGCTAGTCAAAGATTTTCTGTGACCATCTGTTGCTTGAAGAATTTTTTTTATATACGTATATAACTTCTAACATCCCAGTGATTTTGTGACTCAATATTTGCCATCACAACATTTTGGTCACATGGTGATCATGAGATCAATCATGTCTTCACCTTATTCACCTTCACCTTATTAGTGTTGCAATGTAGTTTATAAATAATATAGATAGTTTTTAAAGGGGACATATGCAAAATCAACATTTTATGCAGTTTTTTCAAATGCATTTTGTTGTGTACTTAGAGTCTCTAGGAGAGCAGAAAAGTAGAATTCTGTTTCTCTCGTTGCTGCAAATATAGCTTTATATTCTTTTTGGGTCACAGTGCAACATCAAAACAAGTTGATCTGAGAAACACCTCAAACAAGGGGTGAAAAAGGGGCTTGTGGAGTTACAGTAAGGAGGAATTCAGACCAAAGTTTTGCAGTTCTACTTTATATAGACACCAACTGGATGATTTAAATGTGAAAAAGGATTTCAAAGCATCATATGCCTCCTTTAAGTTAATGTTTCTATATGTCTGCTTTTTTACAGTGATTTTATGACCCCTCCACATCTGTTGTAATAAAATTTTAACCACATGATGATCATCAGATCAATCATGTTTTCATCTTAGAGCTTCAAAATTGTTGTTTTTTAAGGGTGTAAAAAGCAAGTAAAATGTATGCATATTACATTGTATCTATGCTGTACAGTGTGTTCAGTGCACATTTTAGTGGAATGCGCCATTTGGTGACAGTCCGACCCTTGTACATGGCAGCTTTTGTTACCTTCTGTCAGGCCTGTCAGACTGCCAGTCAACACCACATGTCTTTTTTTAATTTTTTTTAATTTTTTTGCTCGGGGCTCATTACAAGTCATTAGCTTGCTGTCCATAGAGCTCGTCATTATCTGACTAAGCCGCTTAAGTTTTTCACCTGCAATGCTGAGACAGAAGACAGTTGTTTAAAGTACTTACTTTAGATCTTGGAAAGGTTCTGCCCTTACATGTGAAGTCTCAACTGAATGGCTGAACACCACTCCTTCACTCCCTGTTAAAAGAGGAAGAAACGAGAACACAGTGATCTGTTGTGGTGAATGAAGCACAATCTTGACAGATATTTTAAGGGTTTACAGAGCCTTAGATCTTGTGTAACAAAGAAAGTGTTTGCATTTTTGTGCAAACACTAAAGAAATAAATAGTTTTAAGAGCTGGAAAAAAATGTTGACAAAAATTGCAACTGCTGGTGTAAATATCTTAAATATTTAATCAAATCCTAAAAGCAAGATTTCTCTTTTTTTGATGATATCATAAAAAAATATCACTGAGATTGCATTCTCTTCTTTTCAAAACACATTTCCTATAGAAATGTAAAGGTTGGCTCTGATATAATGACGTACTTAGCCCCCCGTGTCCAGCAGTTACCTCTGCAGCTGTGAACAGATGCTTGGCACCGGCTCTTGCTGAGACGATACAGGCTGTATTGAAAGCTCAGCACCAGTACAAATTTAATACTGCATGAGGCAATGTTACTCACTGGCAGGCCCATAGATAACAAGGCGACTGAGACGTTGCTCAGAACTGAAACAGCGTTTGCCAAATTTGTTTTCTAGAAGAATCAAGGGCGTCCTTGAAAGCTCACACTTTCTGAAAACAATAATGAAAATTAAAGTGGACCTTTTTAAGTCCCGTTGTTTATTTCAGTTTTACACAATGCTGTTAATCTTTCTGACAATATGGCAGTGTTTTTTTTCCTTGCTTGCTTTTGGGTTTCATTGCCACTTTGTTGATTACATGAAATGTTTATGAGCTTGTCATCCTCCGTTTGGTGGCACCTGTCTTAGTGCACAGTGTCCCATGAAGTGTTTTCCAAGCAAAGCTACTGATCTGAAATCAACACACTTGACAACATTGTACACTCAATAAAAAAAACATTGTACACTCAAAGGAATAATGTGCTAAATTCATAATGTAGATGTTAAGAGAAGCATGGCATGACTCCAGCAGACATCAGTGCATGGACTAAAGAGATATGTTGTATATATATATATTTTTTTTTTTCCACTAGTTATTTTATTTCTTCCATCACAAAGTAGAGGACAACAATTTAACAGTCACCTCTATGCTCTCATCCTCTTTGAGTGCCTTTTCTAAATTGTCTAAAGCACTGTGTGTCCACATGTAGTTAAAGCTTCACCTTTGAAAGCTTAATTTTTAAGGCTCACGTCAATGCCTGTTGTGTTAGTCATCAACAATAACATGGAAACAAACCACTGAAACAAAACTACGGGCAGTAAAAGGTCTGTGCTGCTCCCGATTATGTTTGGCTTCACTCAGTACAGCCCATCAATACTAAACAGTCTCAAAAATGATTTTTAAATACTTTAATGTTTTCCACGGTTTTTAAAATCTTAATGGGGGGGGGGGGTATACAAAATCAACTTGTTTGAGCTTTATATCATATGTCATTCCCACATCAAAAACTTACTCTGTAGCTGTGTTTCCATTGCAAATGTGTGCAAAACTTTGTTGATATTCTGGTAATGTGAAAAGAACACAGTTTCGCAATTGCGGTGTTTCTTTTAAGTAAGAAATCCTATTAAAATCACGCGTGAATACGTTTATTCTCGTGATAAGTCATTACAAACATGGCAGCAACGGATGTAAACACTTACATGAGATATATTCATATTTCTACCATGGCACTAGCGCTCATCATCAGCCATCAGAGGAGACGTCGGCATCTTATTGAGGATTTCGAGCAACAAGCCCCTTCTGCTTGGGAGCAGGTACGTATGTGGCGTTTTTGGGAAATTGTAGTCAGTGGTTTTACTACTTTCTGTTACTACTTTGATGATTTTACTACTACTTCTACTTCCTGATGTCTTTGTTGTCTTTTTTGCCAGTAGAAACATTCGGTTGTTGATCATGTGACTCTTGTGATGCGAAAATAGTGTTTCCATTACAGTTTTGCGAAATACACCAATTTTGATACAGCTGAAAAACAACCATATCTTAATGCAAAACCATTTTGTAAAAAAAAAAAAAATGTAAGTTTTTTTCGAAACTGGCATGTTTCCAATAAGCAAATTTATTTTTGCAATTCTAATTTGCGCATTTTTATGGACAATGGAAACACAGCTAGTGTTGCTTTGACTCATTAATGCATGTTTGCAAAATCCTTGAATCTCCTGTGGTATTTGTACATAGCTCCGCCCTGGAGGCTCTGTCCCCAGCAGAGCTCCCACCCCACAGAGCACCCCTCCCTCAAAACATTGTTGTGAAGACATGCTGAAGAGGGGGCGTCAGAAATGGTAGGAGGCTCTTAGAGACAGAGGTTAATTTCCAGGCATTCAGATTTATATACAGCATTTTCATTACAACTGAAGGTAACATAGTTACTTGATAGTGGTATAGAATTGAAGTATGTGCCTGGAAAATACAGTGCACTATGTAAGTCCTACACCCCTTAAAATAATTTTTCATCTCCTCACCTCAATATATACTAAGCTCTAAAAGTAAGATGTAAAGTAAAATGTGTGTGTGGTAGATTATTTATTTGTTATAACAGTCCTTCTTGGCAAAACATTTTATACCGGTCACTTGATTGGCAACACCTGGGGGGACCAGAAGCTCAAAACAAGTGTCAAAAACAACAGCAAAATAAACTAAATTAATCAAATAAATGTAGCAGAAATGATTTGGCAAATGTTTCATGTGTGCAACAGACATACTCAGCTAAAACTGCTCATCCCACAAATGCATGTTCCTTACAAATATGGCAAAGGGAAACTAACAGGCTTTCCACAATGTAAGATTTATTGTCAAGAGGCAATGTTAAAATGAATAAATAATCTACCAAACACAAAGTTCCTTATTTTTGTTTAAGTTTTTTATTTTATTTATTTATTTATTTTGTGGTGATTCGCTGACAGTAGTTTCAGATGTTCTAAAACATGTTTTACATGGACTTTTAAGTTGTACAGTACCTTGTCTTTTGATGCAGTATTTGTCAAAACATATGTCTTTAAAATACATCTATGAATTAATTTTAGTTCTTTGTAGAACATATTTAATAAGATTGAACAGAAAGTAAAAGCAGATTGGAGGTGAAATGTTGTTCAAATGAATAATTAAGAATTAGAAATGACATTTTTTAAATTACCCAAAACAGGAAAATCAAAACAGCAGTTAAAATGAGAAACAGTGATCCTCTGAAATCTTCTAAACCTTTGAGAATGTCAAAATGTGGTGCAGCGCTACACACATTAGGCTTTCATGGTAGAATGATCACACAGAAGACATTCTTCTAAAACAACTCATGGCAGCTTGCCGGGACTTTGCAAAATTGCACCTGGATGATTCTCAGACCATGAGAGAAAAAGAGCTGAAAATATTCTCCAGAGTTTTCAGCATTCAAAGTTGTGTCAGAGGGTTTACATCTCAACAAGACAACACAAAACACACAAAAATAAAACAAACTCAAGTAACTTCAAGAGGTAATGCTACAGAAAAAGCTGAGTGGTCAAAGCAGGGAGCAAATGTGAAGCTCAAATTAAATCTGCACTTAAGCTGCACATTTAAACTTGTCCAGCTTGACTGATTCTGACTGCCCCAAACTTGAAGGGTAAAAAAGATAGTACTATCTATTTTACTGTATTTTTTTTTTTTTACAAATTTTAAACTATTTTACTAGATTGTACAAAAAAACGTATTAAAATATTGTATATGGTTTTTTTTTGTTTTGTTTTGACTTTGCAAAAAAATGTCTTTTGTTGTGGCATGACAAAATATGTGTAAAATGATATAAAACTGAGGAGGCGTCTTAAAATATTTTCACAATTCTAAATTAACCATCTTCTACTTGTCTGTAATAAACAGTAAAACTCTTGATTTACTTGTGAATTTGGAAAATAAACAAAATATCTGATTCATGTGTGCTTTACAGTATTTTATACTTGTAGAATACAGAAAATGATTTGTTGTGCTGGTTATCAGGTTTTGGCATAATACAGTATTCAGTATGTACTCTGTGTACACACACAGACAGACAGATAGATGCAATTAAAACAAAAAAACATTGTATTGTATTTACATTGCATTTCTTGATGTCTATGACAACAAAAATGAGCTGAACTAAAATGGTAGTTTCAGTTGTATTGCTGCTTCTCGTCAGAGAATTAAATGACAAATTTAAAATGAACAGTGGTGTCTAAACTAAACGAAAAATACATGTTTTTTAATGCATAATCCCACCTGTAACTTTAAGTTTCTCAGTTCCAATGCTGATCTCTTCTTCATCTGCAGAGAACAGGACTCGCTCACCATCAGTGCTCCTCACCTCAAACCGCTGACACTGAGCTTCAACCATTTCTGAACCTGAAACAACACAAAACAGATGCTTTACTGTAGACATACTGTAGACAATGGGAATGGCTTAATATGTAGATTGTGTTTTATATAATCTCTCATACAACCATTAGTGTAAGAATGTTTCATATTAACAACTAAAAGGATCTAAATGGTGAGCAGAAAGCTTTGGGCATTTATACAAACCTTCAAAATGGCAACTATTAACACATGTAATCAAAGCAAATGTACATAAATCAAATGTCTCTTTCAGCACAAATAACAATTTGGGTTTGTGCTCTACAAAAAACACAGCTGCCAATGCTTTTGCTTCTTTTTTCTACTACTTGATCTAAAAAAAAGCAATCGTGACTGGCTATAACAGTTATGTTTTTTATTGTTTCAAAAGTTATAGTTTTGTAGCATGTTTATTAAATTTTATACCAAATAAACAAATGAAAGAGCATCTCGTCATGGGCTGTGCATAAAACAACTGTAATTAGTTTCTCTTTTATTTTGCATATTTCCGAGCAAAATCACCTCGAAGCTGCTGTTGTCTTGAAAAACTCAAAATGGTATATCAAAACAAAGAATATTTTATACATTGTAAATTTATACTCCTCACCCCCCTCCAAAATAAATGAATAAAAATCCTGAATGATTACAACGCTGAAGCTAACAAACAGAAAAAGCTGCTTGTGCAACATCTCATCTTGTTAACATCGTTAACATTTCCTGTTTTCAAGCAGCCATAGCAAAGTTCCTAATTATCTGTATTCATTAATTGTGTTTTTGTGTTTGCACGACAGTTTCCTGTTCCACTGGTGTTCGGTGTCTCATCAGCTCCTCTCGTAGACTGTGAAGGCACTTTGACAATGGAAAGAAAGGAAAGGGGGAAAAAAAAGAACTAGAAAGCACTATAATCTGGCTTTTAACTGTAATTGGACGGGTTACAATTGGCATTCAGCACCGAGTCGGTGAGTCAGCACCAAGAGCTCCAGCTCTGACTGGCGGATGTAAACGAAACATTTAGGTGAATAGTCAGATTTTCAGTGAGTGTGCTGCAGTAGGAGTGGGCACGGCTAACATTTTTGCTTTAATAAAACACAAACTGCAGCATTTCACAGCAGAGGTACTGAAAATGATAGCATCACTCTGATTTTGTTACTGGTCTGCACTGCGGCTGGCAGCTCAGCTTTACTTTCATTGTACTGGGCCGGTCAAAAGGAATTGTGCATCTTATTAGAAAGTGGTTGACCTCAGTTTGTCGATTATGATTTCTTACACTGGAGAAGATGATGAGGTTGTTGTGCTGGTCCAAACGTCACTCACTGAGCAAACCCCACTGCTACTGAAAGAATTTGATCACTTTGTTTTGGCAGATGTGTTCCATTTAAAACATCTACATGAACACTCACATTGGTTTAAAAGGCATAATTTGCTCTGCTGTGCGGAGAGTGGAGTGGAGCAGACAAACACATGCAGTGGAGGAGTCAAGAGACTGGAGAAGTGAAGATAAAGCTATTCAAGCTGACAACAATATAATGATGCACACTCATGCTACTGTTGTGCTGCTATTTTCAGCTGATTCCTCTGCAACGAAAGCTTTCCAGCAAAGTTTTAATCCACCAAAGTGCAACGCTGCTGATGACGTTTTCGTCTAAATTTAACATAAAGTTCCTGGGTGTTGATTGCGACGCTGACCTTTTTGCTCGCCTGCGTCAAACACATTTGTCTTTGTCTTTTGGAACTTCCTTATTTGAAAACTGGTCACTGATTTTCTGTGCCTGCGTTACACAAACAGTGTTTAGGGGGTTGATAAATCCTCAGAGGAAAATAACACAGACCTTTGACAAAATGCACATCAATCATCAAGCTGAGTGATTTTATTATTATTTTTTTTTATTATTATTATTATTATTATTATTAATAATATTATTATTATTATTTTATTGTGTGTGTTTCCTCACAAAGCATTTAACCCAGTTACTTCAGAATCAGAAGCAGTGATTTAAAATACAATCCTGTCGGCTTCATTGGCTGACTTTTCTCACATCTGGAAATGTTAGGTGTAAGAACACAGCAAGGATATTAAACTGTATGATCTAAAGAAAAAAATCAGCAGGATTTACCAGTGCCTTTGACAAGATTTAGCTTTAAACATTGTTAAAGACTAGCTTGTATCTGTATTTTAAAGCCCTGTCAAACTAACATTTTAGACAACACGCCAACTTGTGAAAGTTTTGTCGGACGCTGAAGATAGAAAAAAATAGATTCCTCTTATATACATACTGTAATGTTAACCTTTAGATCAAATATATAAACTTTAAGCACAAGCATAAGTAGTCATTACATTTTCAAAGGTCTGTATACATTGTTTAAAACATAGTGTGACAAGGTCTTTCAGGTTAAAAAAGAGGAACTTGTAATAGAATTTATGTATTTCCTAAGCCAGGGGTTCCCAAACTTTTCCATGCCATACCCCCGCACCCCTCCTCCCCAACATTCGCTCTTGCCAGGGACCTTCTTGGGAACCCACAAACAATGATACAAAATGTGTAAGGAAACATCAACTTTTCGAATGTTTTTTCTCACTTTTATTCACTATTCAATAATTATTACATTCATTTAGAGTAACACTTTTATTAACTAACATGTTTTAAATACTATTCTATTCCCACTGGAAAAAAAAAACTACTTTTCAACAAACCGTTGATGATAAGAACAGAACAAAATAAATCTAATTTCTAAGTTCTCATACTGTATATATTAAAATAAAAATAGTATTTTAAAATTATTGAAAAACAGATTTGACTTATTGATATTGATTTAAAATATTTATTAGATGTTTTTTGTTTTTTTTCTCATCTTCCGTCCGGCATCCCGAGGCCTCCCTGGTGGCCCCCACTTTGAAAAACACTATCCTAAGCGTTTTCACCAACAGGTTGAGCTAGTGCAAACACACGACTTGTGGATTGTGATCATCATGGTATGCACAGTTTCACAAACTGTATAGGCACTAGCCCATGTGCCAGTAAACGCATTTATTTGTGACAGCAATAACTGATTTTCATCATAAGTGTTGATACTGGGTGGCTCAGCTGGTAGAGCTCTTGCCTCTTAACGAGAAGGTTGCTGGATTGAATCTCAGCCGGAGACCCTTCTGGGTAGAGTTTGCATGTACTCTCTAGGCATGTGTGGGTTTTCTCAGACTACTCCAGTTTCTTCTCATAGACCAAAGACATGACTGTAACCTGACAGAGACATACACAGGTACAGGGCAGAGCCTACTATCATTATGGATGAATGTCCCCTGCAGTGGTGGGCTGCTCATTGTGGAGTCCACAACAAGCTTGCTCTGCTTGCCCACAAATATCTCGCATCTCCAGCCTCCACTGTTCTTTGCGAAAGACTCTTTTCCCTAGCAGGCCACATTGTTAACAAGAAGTGATCAGCTATACGTTCAGAAAATGTTAACCAGTTGGTTTTTCTCAGCAACTGGCTGAAAGAAGAGTAGAGAAGCACAAAGGGTCTATGTGTTCAAATCTGCTCTAAACGTTGATCCTTATTCATTTAATATTGATGTGTCACAGTATTATTTCATTGGTGTGACATGATTTTAGCTGTTTTTGTGCAATCAAGGTGATATTTTTTCAAGTTTGCCCTCAAAATATTGATCCTTATTTGTTTAATATTCATGAGTCACAGTATTATTTATTTATTGCCATGTGATTGAACAGCTGAGGTCCTGAGGTTGAGGTCATCCCCTCTCCTTCGGGAGGAGACGAGAGCGAAGATGCAGTTTTGGGGAACTCGCCTGGCGGTGAAGCCCACTCCTGCATCTGGTTCCTCTCAGCGTCACCTATGTCGGCGGAGAAAGGTGGCGGTCCCTCCTGAGCCTGAATATGACCCCGACTTTGATCCTGAGAGCGATCCCAACTGCCCCAAGTACATCGGCTACTGTTCTGCCGGGCCGATGATTTTTGGCTCTCCAGTCCCGCCTCCTCCTCTCCCATCAACATCTCCTCCGAGAGGGTCCCGGATGTCGCCTCCTCCAGTGCTGCCTCTGAGGGGGTCCCGGACATCTCTCACTCCTGTGTCACCTCTAAGAGGGCTACTGAGACCTCCAGCCTCCAGCACCTCCGAGTGGATCTATGCCTCCACCTCCTGCGCTCTTCGCTCCTGTGAGAGGATCGATGCCTCCACCTCCATTTTTGCTCCCCAGAGGGTTGATGCCTCCACAGCCTCCTGCGCTCCATTGAATGTCGACGCTTTCTACAGCCATCTACACTCCGGTGAGATTCGACGCTGCTACCCCCTGTGTGGAAGGTCTTAGGGGGGAGGAGGTGGTGGTCAACACCCTGGCTGCTGTGGCAGTATTTATGACTGCAGCTCTGGAGGAGATGTTTTCCACGCCTGCTGCAGCTTCAGAGTCTTCAGAGCCAGAACCAGCACTTGAGCCTACAAGACCCCCAGGTCAGACTGTGAAGTCCCCAGGCCAGCATGAGCCTACTGAGCCCCTGGGTCAGATTGTGAAATCCCTGGGTCTGCCTGAGGCTCTCAAGGTCTCCATGCTGATCTCTGCTCCTGAGATCTCTACGTCAGCCCCACCTGAACTCTCAACGTCTGCTGCTGCTGTTGTACCTCCAGAGTCAGCGTCTGTGTCAGCACCAGAACTCTCTGAGCCCAAGCTCGCACCAGAGTCCGCGGAGTCCGTGCCAGAACCAGAGCCTTCAGGGTCCTCGGGTTGAATTTTAGAGTCCCCGAGCCTGCCTGAGTCTCCTGAGTCTACACCGGTCTCTGCTCCAGAGGACTCCTTGCCATCTGCAGCTGAGGTCTCCACCCCACCTGAGCTCTCACCACCAGCTGCAGAGTCTCCAGTGCCGGCCCCTGCAGAGTTTCCAGAGCTGGCCCCTGCAGAGTCTTCAGAGCCAGCCCCTCCAGAGTCTCCAGAGCCCCATCCTCGTTGTGGCCGGGCTCCAGGCCGCTCACCTGAGATCCATCTCCTCCGCGGCTGAGTCCCGCTCCAT